AAACTCGAAGACTTGTCAGATTAGAGGTGAGGTGAGCTAATCATGGACTGAGACCCAGGTAAGTTTACAATGAATTCATCTTTTCTGTTTCTTATAGCAGTTTTGTATTGTTTGTAGTGTGATCAACGTTTGCGTAAGTAGTAGATGTGTTAGAGAAGTAACACGTAACATTTTAATTATATTTTGCTAAAATGAACGAAATTACTCGAAAAAAGATTCGTTAATTTTGCTGAAGGAGACTCAAAGGTCCGAGTTGGTAAAATTATCCGAACTTCCCATCACTAGATGGCATCACAATATGGTAGGGGCGTAACATTTCCGTCACACGCTTGAGGTATTCGGCCAATCACAACGCACCTCGCTTTTTTTAGAAAAACGAGACTCAAAGGTCCGAGTCGGTAAAATGATCCGAACTTCCCATCACTATTGTGTTGTGGTAAAAATAGCAAGAGATAGCTACTGAGTAGCTCAGTAGCACACTGAGTGCAACCATTTTACGTCATCAAAATAATAGCGCCCCCATAGTCCAAAAGCAATGTTGATTTGTTAAAGGGGTCATATGATGCTGCTAAAAAGAACATTATTTGGTGTATTTGGTGTAATGCGTAATGTGTTTATGCAGTTTAAGGTTCAAAAAACACATTATTTTCCACATACTGTACATTATTGTTTCTCCTGTATGCCCCGCCTTTCTGAAACACGTCGATTTTTACAAAGCTCATTGTTCTGAAAAGTGAGGTGTACTGTGATTGGCCAGCTATCCAGTGCGTTGTGATTGGCCGAATACCTCAAGCGTGTGACAGAAATGTTACACCCCTTACCATACTGTGAGGCCCTGTCCGGCCGGAGCGACGAGACAAAAACATTAAAACCCATTATAAACGAGGCATTTGTTGCATCCAGTGGGGACATAATTACGGGTTATAATGACTTATACTGTCTTTTACGCATTGCGTTGCATCGCGCCGCGTAAACATAAAACCATGTTGTGATCGGAGAAACAACAAGCGCTACTCTGCACTGCTCAAAACTCGCGTTTGAATCATCAGTGGCAAATTCAGGTTGAACTCAGTGGCGGCTCATCAAGGGAGGCACAGCTTCCCCATAATTTTGAGGTGAAAATGGGAGGAGGACGATTTAATGTTAATAAAATTCACAATTAATTTCAGTTCATGTGTCAGAATGTGTATTTTTTGTTTGTAATTTCACAGTTGTAATACCACAACGTGAAAGCGCTGCTTTTCTATCGCGAATGTGCCGAATCTGCTGATGTAATTACAACCGCTAATGAGTAGCGATATTGAATATTTGATCGCCAACAGATTTACCAAGCTGTCATTCAAACAGTATATATACAAATTTATAAAAAAAAAAGGGGAAAACAGCCTAAGCTGGATATAGGCTACAGCAGTCGGCTTAATTAAATGGCGCAACAGGCAGCTCTCTTTTAACACAGACATTTAAGAAGAGATGGATGTTTGCTTCAAGTGATGGGCCAGGTAAGTGAAATTATATTATCTTGCTGTATGTATGTCGTTTTCTTTACGTTTTCTGACTAAAAGCAACCAAAAAGCCATTTTAAGGTGGTTAAGCAAATAATAATAATAATAATCGGCAGGGATCCCAGACTAGAGGCGTAGCAATGGGGAAGGCATTTTAAGGGGCCCCCGATGGCCGACCATTTAAACAAACAGGAATGTTAATATTAATAGCTATAACACGCAGCAACATCCTAGCATTTGTAAAACTGCATTTTTCCATCTCAGAAATATATCTAAATTACGACCTATTCTCTCAATGTCAAATGCAGAAATGTTAATCCATGCGTTTATGACCTCAAGGTTAGATTATTGTAACGCTTTATTGGGTGGTTGTTCTGAGATGACTTGACTAGAGCCCTGCACGGGCCTCAAATTTAGGCCCTAGCCCGGCCCTGACCCGAGACGCTCAGGCAATTACCGACCCGAGCCCGTCTTTTTCCCCTTCTACCAAAACAGCTTATACAACTGTTCCAGCTATTAAAATAGTTCAGTTTTAATGCAATGGCAAAGTGATTATATGTTGTTTCGATTTTTTATTAAGTTAATTTAGAAAAAGGTTTGGAGCATTTTTTGTTCGTTAAATAGGCTATACGTTTTTTTTTTTTAAAGTAGCATAACGACCAAGCGGCCAGCGGCAGACAGTGCGTCTATGTTTGATCAATTTAGCCTTCTCAGATCATCACGACTTACAATAAAATCTATAGATATAAAACAGTTCAAACATATCACAATGTTTGAACATTAAACCTAGATAAATGTGACTATATCCAATAGTTTGCCCGGAGAGTGGAAGCTAAAGCGCGCTTTGCAGGACTTAGAGGCGCCAGCGCGATCACTTACATTTTTTTCAGTGGATACGCCGTCATTTTTGCTCATAAAGGTAAGAGTAATACATCATTCGTTACTGTAAAGGGTCTACTTTTATTTGTGTGCACTCACAATATCAACAAAACGTTGTGCTTTTATAAAATAAAGAAAACAAACATGATGCGCTTTCTGCCGTCTTGTTTTGAACAGGAGCTTCACAGAAATTAACCGAAACTCAGCGAATACATGCCTCACAGACATGATAAATATATCTATAGAAAGCTTTAAATTACTATTAATGAAATAATAGTAATTTTCAGACCGATGAGCTTTGTAAAAATCGACGTGTTTCAGAAAGGCGGGGCATACAGGAGAAACAATAATGTACAGTATGTGGAAAATAATGTGTTTTTTTAACCTTAAACCGCATAAACACATTACGCATTACACCAAATACACCAAATAATGTTCTTTTTAGCAGCATCATATGACCCCTTTAGCAAATCAACATTGCTTTTGGACTATGGGGGCGCTATTATTTTGATGACGTAAAATGGTTGCACTCAGTGAGTACTCAGTAGCTATCTCTTGCTATTTTTACCGCAACACAATAGTGATGGGAAGTTCGGATCGTTTGACCAACTCGGACCTTTGAGTCTCGTTCAGCTAGACACATTTACGCTAATTGCTTTGCGGCGCGCTTAAGCCTATTGCATGCATTTGAACGCAGAACTCTTCAGCTGCGCTGACGGCACGCACCATACATGCTGCTGCTGCTGCTGGACACTAAACACCGTCGAGCCGCTCTTGACAGACGCGGTAGCACGGTCTCATGCTGTTTCCACCAGCGCAGCAATTTTTTCATCACTAATTGATGGATGTCTAAAATATAAAAATAAGGAGAAGCCTAAAACAGGCCCGAGGCCCGGCCCGCGTCTGAACTATGATGTGAAAATTGGCCCGGCACGAAGGGATGTAAAAAAGTCGGGGCCCATCGGGCCCGGGCTGAAATGCAGGCTCTACTCCATCCCCCCTATGGGGGACCCGAGCGTTTTTAATCAATTCCTATGGAAGTTGAGCTTGCGCAATTTAGGAATAACTGAAAAAGTTCACGCACACACACATAAACACGCACGTTAAACATAAAGAAGAGGACAAATCTATCAGGCAGCCTGAAGCGAAAGAAGAGGAGGAAAAGAGGAACCAGGACAACGGTAAGCATAGGCACCAATTTATGTTTCTGCCCACACGCTATTCCACTCCAAACCAAATATAAAACATTTTATTCATCATACTGTTTCCATGAGCAAATGATAACGGGCTAGGTTGTCATGCAACAACTGTGCCTTAAATATTTGAACATTCCCATTTTTACAGCCTAATTAATTAAAAATTATAAATATTTTTTCTCCATTCGATATTGTGCTTGAATTCATTAGGCTACACAAAATATATTATTTTTGTGTCTGGCGAAGAGAAACGCACAGACTACAAATACACAACTAAACAAAACATTCTTTTCATGAGCTTCGGCACAACTCGTTCACTTGCTGATATACATAAAATAATTCAATAAATACCTATTTAGAATAGGCACTTCATTCAAATAACTATTAGGCTAAATAATAAAATAAATAACGAGAATTCACTGACCAAAATCAGCTTGAAAATGCTAACAAAGATGGATCCGTAATTGAAAGGTACTCTATTATGTTATCAGTCAGTCATGGAAGTCTGGTGGTTGATGGGCTTCTGGCAACATTAATTTCAAGAGAGAAGACAATTTTATAGATTTGAGTGCACAGGTTTGTGCATATTATCAATAGGCAACAAAGATACATTAACCAAAAAAATCTTTTAGAAGGGCCTCACTGATTAATTTTGCCTGGGGCCCCCACTTCGTGTAGGTACACCTCTGTCCCAGACCAATACAATGAGTGTGCCTCATTAAGCTAAACAAGACCAGCCGCTGAGGTCAGGCGCTGCAGTTGCTCAAAATCGGCTGCGAAAGTCTTTATGACGACACATTTTATTCTCATTGCTCAGGTTCTGTGATGACAAGGACGACAGGTGTTTCTGGTTTATTCTAAAAATTCAACTCCAATAATGCTCACAGATCTGTGATTTATAACAGTAAAAACACTGATAAAAGCATATTTACCCCCACTTTATTGGTATTTAAATAGTATATATTTATGTTGAACTTTATTTTTGAACATATGGTGCTGTATTAAGCAGTATATGAAAAGTGTTTCTGTTGCTCATGAAAACATTTCTGAAGCGTCTATTTGGCATTTAATTCGCTTCATCTGTGATAAACACCGTGAGAGCGTCACTACCGGGACTCCGGGAGCAGAAAGTGTCCGACTTGATGTCTCCGCTTTTAATTCCGTCTCCGACTGCAAGCGGCAGATCTCGCCAGCCGGTGGCAGGCCAGTGTAGTTCATCTGGAACAAGCCGAATCCATCTTGATGAATGAAGCAGAAGAGCGTAAACAGGTGAACTCTGACCAATAAGAGGACAGCTTTACTCACATAAACACAGTTTGGTACGTTTTTCAATGTTGCCTTGTGAAAGCGAACCGAACCAAGAAGAAAATGCAACATTGTAACAAATTCCTGTTTCGGAACAAAGCAAACAATCTACAGGTCCGAAAACACGAGTGTGCATCGGTGGACAGTAATACTGTAAAGTAATAATAGACCATTAGAAATAAATTAAAATAAAGAAGCGGACCAAATCAAAAGAGAAAGTCACGGGCCTCACGGCCAATCTATTCATTGGTCCTGATGTTGCACCTTATTGCACGTGATGAAAATGATTAAAAACTACCACGATTTGAATGGTTTCACTTTCTTTTATCTAGCACCTTATTCTTGTTTGCATAGTTTCGCTTTCCTTCCTGAACATTCTTTTAGTGAAGAACAGCCTGTGTCTTCATTCTATCATCATCTCTAACAGTTTGGGGCTTGTCCTAAGAAATCTCTGCCTGTAAACCAAAAGGAGGGGTGCCAAAACCACCGGTAAGTTTTTCTCTATTTTTCCTGTTGGTTGGGGTGCTTTCGTTGTTATATTTGCACTCGTTTCATTGTTGTATTTAAATTCATTGAAAATGTACAATCTAAAAATGGAGTTGTTTCCAACCCAAAATGATGGTTTGTTCAACACACTATTGTGTAATAATAATCGAGCCTAGTTTAATTTAAACCCAACAGTTGGCTCTGTCCATATTTTACCCTAAAAACAACTCAGCATTTTTAAGAGTGTTTATTCAGGTAAACAGATCTACGACCCTGATGCACAGCTGATCTTTTTGTTGTGTGTTTGGTAGTGGTTCAGCAGACTGTAAATGATCCGTTATCCGTACGCACCGCGCATGTAAAAAGTAGTTGAGGTCTAAATGGACCACAGTGCAACAAATCACAGTACATGACCATGCCAAAAAAAATAAAGCTTTCATGAAGATTCATCAAGATGATTTATCGTGGAGATGAGGAAATAAGCTAAGAAGTACGCTAACGTAAAGTTGAGTTTTTTTTTTTTTTAACACCTGCCTCTTTTCAGGAATAAAGAGTTACTCTTTTAATTTTGTCGTCAGAACATCCCGAACACCCTGTGTCTGTGCTTTTGACTAGTCTAGTTTCACTTTCTTTTTGCATGGCATGGAAACCCCTACAGGATAAAGATGAAATGAGGTGATTGTAAAACACCTGTTTTCCCTCCTCCCAGACACCAGCATCACTGTGCATCAGGAGTAAAGTAGATTGAGTTTGGGTATTTTCATAACAAACGTGTACTTTGCATTACATGAATATTAATATTACCATTTCAATTGTTATTACAACTGGAGCATTACAATAACACACTGTTTTCTAACTGAATTAGACTTGGCTCTTGAAATGGGTGAAGCAAATGGAAAACAGTGGGTAATGCTTGTGGCTGGTTCAAAGACATGGAAGAATTACAGGCACCAGGTATGTGGCCTACAGTGACAGGATTTTTTGTCATTCTGTTTATCTTTCTTGTGAGTATGTGCCTTCTCTGTGAATCAAGCCATTGATCTTACAGTGTTTCTAGCACCTTGCTCCATGATGCTACAGTTTGTAAAGAAAAGTCTCCATTTCAGGCCGATGTGTGTCACGGCTATCAGATAGTACATCAGAACGGGATTCCTGACGAGCAGATCGTGGTGATGATGTATGATGACATTGCTTATAATAAGAAGTAAGAGACTTCCTGCAGATTTTGAAAGTCATGTGGCACAAGGCTGATGTACATTTGTAGCAGATTTAACACAGCGTTCACATAGATCTTTTCTGTCATGCTGTACCATTAAAATCCTCCCTAATTAATATTATATCCAATGTATTATCACCCGTATGATGGGACATAAAAGTGTTTCGCCACAAAATGCCCTCATAATGTTTTATCTTCCTTTACAGAAACCCTTATCCTGGAAACATAATCAATAAACCAAACGGACCGAATGTGTATCCAGGGGTTCCAAAAGACTACACTGGAGAGGTAATGTTCTTTGTGTCAAACACGAAACAGACGTTTTCATCCTATATCTGAGCACAATTCTGACTGTCTTACAGGAAGTAACACCTGGAAACTTCCTGGCTGCTCTCAGAGGAGACAGCTCTGCTGTGAAAAAGACCAATCCAAAAGTCATTACAAGGTTTGTCTCATTAGTCAGTTACAGTTCTGATACAAATAAGGATAAGGACGGAAGATGATGATATTGTTTAATTTAAAATGATAATGAAAGATATAAATGTTATCTTTTTTGTGTCACACAGTGGAGGGAATGACACAATATTCATCTATCTGTCAGATCATGGAGGTTCAAGCAAGTTTTGTTTTCCTAACAGCACTGTAAGTTTTGTTACCTCTAAAAACTAACGTGTACTACAGTATTTATTACAGTTTAGCAGTTCACTATAGTTAATACTACAGTATGCTGTAGCATTAGTTAAAGTGTTGTGAACACTATAATATATACAGTATAATACACTTTACTATAGTATGGTTCAAAAACACTATAGTATTTACTATAAATTACTATATATTTTTTTTTCATGTGGGAGGTATTGCCTTTTTCATGTCTTATGTTATGTGTATTTGATTTCATCAGACGATGACTCGATTATAAATCAGGATTTTTGTGCAGATTAACATCTTGAGAGGGAGAGCTGGGTAGTCTTAAAGGGCCGCATTTCAGTATTTCATATTCATCCCGTTGTCTGACAACAGAAACAGTAAAATATGTAAATGAAAACAGTTTTATTGAGAATTTGGCTGCATTAAAATACAGTCTGTGCACAGAGAGGCAAACAAATGTAAAAGGCAATATGGCCCAATGACGTCATGAATATGCTAATTATGTCATCTAGCAACATTTAGCAACTTTTCAAGCTAGCTTTAGCTACTTTCCATTGAAAGAAGTCGGCAACACTGGCCTCCTGATCTACTGAACTGTAGTAAACGCAAAACAATGGCATACACGGATAATGACTGATAAAACTATGTTTTTACTAGCGGACAACTACAGTGAATACTGTAACATTCATTATAGTTACTTACTTGACGATGTTATGTCCTAAAATGCCTTGAAGACTCGAATGCAGCCGTTTGTGATGGTTAATTCACGCCCGCGAGCATACGCGTGTGAAGTGCAGACGCAGCTGCGGGAGAGGCTACTTTTACACTGTTGCCACGGGTTATAATGCAAGTTAGCGGTTCTAAATTCACATTAAACCACAGCTTCATGGGTTTTGTGCTGGTATTGGTATATTTTGCATGCTAGTGATAGGAATCGATCCCTTGACGTGATTGGTTATTGGATTGTGACGTAGCAAACCGAGGGCTGTTTCAAACCGCATTTCTGGGTCAGCCTTTGGGAAACTACAGTTTTAAGGAGAAAATACTCAGCAATGGTGTTGATGAATGGATTGGCACATGGTTTGTCTAAAAGCATATTAAAAACACCACATATACAAATAAACAACACAAAAAACTTGATTTTCACCACAGGGGGACTTTGAATAAAACATTGTACAGTGTTGAACCGCTTATATTGTGGTGGTCTAATTCAGTCCTTTTCCTGCAGCTTTATGCCCATGATCTCATTGAAACAATCAACGAAATGGCCAGAAAGAACAAGTTCTCAAAGGTAAATACAAACATTTATATACACCAATTAAAAAATAGTCTGTATATTTTGTGGGCTCTTGTCCCAGAACACCAGAGAAGGAAAAAGCACTCGAGTACTTTTTAAGTGTTATCTGTACTTTTCTTATCTGTAATCTGTTGCCCGTTTAAATATTAATTCAGTAAACCAGGTACTTTTTACTTGAGTATCCAAAAGTACTATGATTTAAAGACAACTCTGAATTTGAATGTATTCATCTTTAAGAAGCGAGCCATGCATATTTTACAGCACGTGCGCACGGGTCATGAATGATCTTTTCCATTAAAGGGCAATATTTATCAGAAGTATGCGGTGACCGGGAGGTGACATGTTCGGTTCACTTAGATATGAACTTGTGGGAACGTGATATTATGATACGAGTTTAATGCGCAAACAAACCTGCGTACCCATAGCAACCCGGGATTATCAGAGATGGATTCATTAATATTTTATTAATTTATTATTATGTGCAATAGTCAGCATTCAAATGTTTATCATGAATAGTTTATCATGAATAAATGTTACATAAAGTGCATAAAATAAAATAGGCCTGCAAGAAAACATTTTATCCATCCCACAGTCTTGTAAATGCATTAACTGATCATCTTTTCCCTGTAATATTTGTATATTATTATCATTATTAGCCTATTATTATTGGCTATATTTTTATTTTCATTTATATTTGTTTTTCCCTTCATTTCGATCTCTTTACTTAACGTTCTGAATACTTTTGTAAATATTAGGCTACTGTAAATGCTGGACATGCCAATAAAGCTTTGATTATGCTGACTGGAATTTTTACTGGAATTCAGTTTAAATTTAACATATATTTAATTCTATTTTGGCTAATTAATAGACCATCATTATAAATAACAGTGTTCCATTGAGGAATTAATCATTCACACAGTTTCATTTGTAAATGAAAACACAACACGCTCATTTATCATCACACATGGGCATAAATACAATCATAAAGTCAAGACTTTATTGGCAAAATTGTCAGGCGTTCACAGTATTTGCTAAATATATGGAAGGCTAGACAATCCTAGCATAATTATACAAAACGTTAAAGGGATAGTTCACCCAAAAATGAAAATGTGATGTTTATCTGCTTACCCCCAGGGCATCCAAGATGTAGGTGACTTTGTTTCTTCAGTAGAACACAAACTGAGATGTTTAACTCAAACCGTTGCAGTCTGTCAGTCATATAATGGAGGTGGATGGGAATCACGGCTTTGAGAGTAAAAAAACATACACAAACAAAACCAATTTAAACCCTGCGGCTCGTGACGATACACTGATGTGTAAAGACACGAAACGATATGTATGTGCAAGAAACTGAACAGTATTTATGTAGTTTTTGAGCTCTGATTCGCGTTCACAACAGCCTGCGCGTGACGCGTGTACGTGCTCTGGCATAGTAGACAGAGATATGTATAAGTAGATGCCCTGGGGGTAAGCAGATAAACATCACATTTTCATTTTT